GGGGGGGGGGGGGGGGGGGGGGGGGGGATAGAGAGAACGAGCTACGAGAAAAGGGAATTACGAAGGACGAGCGAAGGGGTCGGACGGGCTGGAGGCAGAAAGATGAGGGGAGGCAAAAGGTGAACTTTGAGATGGGCTGATATCGGGGTAAGCTCTACATTAGCGAATTACCCGCGCGCTCTCGCGAGTCTCTCCCAGTTTCTCCGGTGGTGAGCGATAAATATACCAGAGTAATTCGAAAATATTGTACGAAAGGATTCGGGAAAAATTTGTAAAGGAAAACCGAAACCGGAACCGCCGCCCCGAGGAGAATCTGTAAGACTTTGGCATGGTTAAATTTCTAGCCTCGATTCAATGCACGCTTGAGAGAATCAGTTTTTGAATTTTTTATTGCGAATTATTCGAGACGGGAGTGTCTCTCAAAGCAATCTCGCGATTACAACAATCGCTATTTATTTATTTATTTTTTTTTTTCGATACTCTCGGTGAGTGTGATTACACGGCATTCGATTATGGATCGAGGATTTGCGATTGAAATCGACGAATTCGAGATCCATGCTAGTCCATAATCGTGCTGGCAACGCCCTCGTTAGGAACGCTGGCGAAACTAATCCTTTATTTGCGGGAAAATTGAACAGTGGCGTCATCTGGCAGCGAAGCAGTATAGTTATCGAATTGTACGTCACTTCGTGCTAGACCGATAATCCTAACCTGCGGCGACTTCTTCCAAGCGGAATTCAGGGAGAATATATTGATCTGATCAAAGCACAAAGGTGGAGAAATACTTTAACAATATATAATGAAGAAGATGGGCAGATTATTAAACAAGGTGAAACAAGGCTCATATAATGTCACGGAAAGATTAAAAGCGTAAATCCACTCTATTCAGTGTGGAATCTAACATAACGAAATCTCTTCTCCTAAGTAGAAAAGTATCTAAGAAATTTTTCGTGAGGATATGATGGACAGCGATCACTGCATGCACTTTGTTGAGCGCAAGAAGCGATTCTGCCGCATGACAGTGCAAAAAGGTCATCAGTACTGCGGCGAGCATCAACGGAACACCGCTGGCTCCGACACCGGGAATGAGAGAGTGCCATGTCCGCTGGATCCCACACAGCAAGTATTCATTAAATTCGATGTATTCTAGCACGGTATCATGACATTTGTCTCCTTCCAGTACATGCTATAGATCCAAGCTGACGAAGCACCTGGGTGTGTGCAACGTCAAGCGAAGGCTAGACGCGCAGCCGACGTTCGTAGTTGAAGGAACAAACTTGGATGATGAGACTATCGCGACGCCGCCGCGCGTGCCACTGTCGCAGCTCGATGAATCTGTCATAAGAATGGTGATAAGGAAGATTCATGCTGCCTACGGTATGATTAAATCATCTGCAGTCAGGCCTCAGTGCCTTGTATTTACATGTAAAATGTAGTTATCTACATGTATGCGCAAAGTAAACTATATGTAAATTGTATTGTATATTATTTATATAAGTAATTTATGACAAAGAACAATTTATGTTCTTTGTTGTTGCACTGGACTGTGCAAAAACTTTTATCTCGTTTATATATTTTCATTTGTCAATATTAGAGTCAGATGTATTAACAATCGCAAAACTTAATTTTTTCAATAATAATTTACATATTTTACATTTCTTATATATTATTTATATTAAAAAAATTTATGTGAGTTTAACGTAAACAATATGTAAATATTTCATGTAAACGTAATTTTAAAATATATGACAACTATGTCAAGTATAATTTGATTTGTTTAAAAAATGAATTTCTTTTTCATGTCTTTATATATGTTATGTCCCGTTTAGATGAGCTACCAGAATTTTCTCAAACGATTCTAAGGCATAACGTGCTCGAAGACAAATTAAATGATGAAACCAGCGGTAATAAAGTTAGAAAGCACTTGCTCCAAAATGCATCTCTGCTAGGGCATCTGGAGCAAGCTGGTCTTATGCAAGACGACACTTGTTTCATCGAATTTGGAGCTGGAAAAGGTACATTTCAATTGTAACGGCATTTGTTGATTCTCTTAAATTTTTTATTTTAATGAAATTTCGTTTCTATTTGTCGAACAATTCGTTATTATTCTTAAGTCAGTTATTTTGAGTCACGCTGTACAATGTACTAAATGAAGTCGACCTTTAAAGCTCAGTTAACATATTGGTTGGGGCAGATTATAAAGGATAAGTCAAACTCTTGCATCCTACTGGTTGATCGTTCTAGTCATCGGCACAAAAGCGATAATAAACTTAAGATAGAGGAAAGTCGCCTTACAGTGAAAAGAATACGCGCCGACATTGCTGATCTGCAACTGAATCAAATCTCGGAGATCCAGCCGATCAAATACAAGATCGGCATAGCAAAGCATCTCTGCGGAACAGCCACTGGTACACTCATTTTGTCTATTGACAATGTTTCATTTTTGTTTTATATTATAATCGACGACAATGGATATTTCAGACTTGGCAATACGTTGTTTAATAAAGTCGATGAACAGCGAACCCAAGGTCGACGTACGCGGTCTAATCGTCGCGTTTTGTTGTCATCATAAGTGCGAGTACTCGTCGTACGTGGGCAGGAAGTACTTGCAACAATGTGGCTTTACCGCGGACGAGTTTCCTGTTCTATGCAGCATAGTCAGTTGGGCGACTTGTGGTTGTCGTTTAAAGAGCGACGTTAACTCGCCAAGTGACGCAACATCAGACGCAGCTAGCGGAATTTCCTCGAAATCAGATGAACGTGAAGTTATCGGGCGCAAAGCTAAAATATTGCTGAATTGGGGTCGTTTGATCTTTTTGAAGAGCGTTGGATTTCAGGCTGAGCTGCTTTATTATATCTCCACTGATGTTTCATTAGAAAATATGTGCATTGTGGCTACTCGAGAACATTCGTCGTAACTGGAATATGTTGAATTTACTGTCAACTTGTACGTTATCTTAAAAATTATTCTCATTTTTTTTATAATAAATTACATATTTACGTAAATTTATATTTCGATCAATATATCAACGCAAGATTGGCTGTTACCGTCCGTTGATTTCCGCATTTCCTTATCGCCTCGGTCGGTATAGTTTACTTTTTAATTTATCAACCTCGAACTTACCGACACACTTAATTGAATGACGGGTTGAAGTAGTACGCAAGTCACAAATAATCTCCCCCACTGAACAAAATGCCCCGCCCAATACGAGTGATCTAACACCGTTCAAACATTCCAGCGTACGTTCGATGTGAAGTGTGGAGTTGGAGTCTAGCTACCTGCTCCTTTTCTTATCGCCCAACTTCCAGGGTAGCGCTTTACCGCCAAGTGGAATTGGTATCGACGGCACGAAGAGAGGAGAGAGAAAAAAAGAACCGCCATTGAGGTATGCCTAAGCCGTGAATAGGACGCGCGTGACCCGTGGAATTTACACGTAACGTATACACACCTGCTTTTGACCTAAATCAGTATCTATTTTTACCTGCCTGCGCGTACTTGTGCGTGCCGTAGTAAAGATTGCCGATAACGATAGCTGCGCGATTCATCAATCGGTGTATACAAAGTTGTGTGTACACATCCTATGTAGCACGTCGCGCCAAGCCACGCCTGATAGCTGCGACATTCTTACAGAACTTGCCTCTTTCCTTTGTTTTTTCAGAAAATAAGCAAGTAACGTGGCCGTTAACGTTGTGACATGTCTATTCTAGACGAGCGCGACGAATACTTGAAGAATCCGTATTTTAAGGAGCACTTGTACGGCGACTTTACTGCATTCTATGTCACAATTGCTCTCTGCACCGTCCTAGGCGTATTTCTATTTGTTTTGAACATCGTGTTCTGTTGGTGCTCGCGACACCGTGAATATTGGCAAGATCGCAACTCCGGTGAGTTAGATCAGTTTCTTCAGTCTGTATATAAGAGTACACACCACATAGTTTACGCGGGCGCGCGCGACTGATACAGTTTCTCTTATTTTTTAATAGCATATTATCCTGTTGGGATTTAGGCAATAGGTGGATCCAACCTCTATGGACTGTATTGCCGCATAAAACACCGCCGCTTGATCTGAGCGAGTTAGAACCTGGTCTCATCAAGTATCCTCAAGTGAGGCACGAGATTGTTCAGTATCACGATCCGGAGTCTCAGAGTACCACGCCACAGCCCCAGGAGTACATGGAGATGCAAAAACGCGAGAGTGAGATCTAAAGTAGCTGGCAGCACCAACTGAAGAGCAGTGTTGGAAAATAGTAGTAGTAACATCTACGCTTAAGAATACGTTCAAAGTCAAAGAGTTTAATTGAGTACAATAGAGTCTAATTAGCCCTTTGCACCCAGTTAATTGCATTGTGAAGCTTGTGCCTTAGCTACTATACACTGAAACTTTCACCACCAACATTGTTTTCATAGATTTATTGACCTGCTTTTACATATATTGAAAGAATAATTTTTATTTTTTTATATAAAATCAATATAATTTAAAAATTGTGACATCACTGCGACTTGCTTCGCAAGTTATTTTCAATAATTGCACAGGACACTAGTTGCAAATAGTCTATAATCTCGGATAGATATAAAAGAATATTTTATTATGGGCTTGCACGTTTTCTGGCCTGCTACGGCCTGCCTGACTCTCTTTGTAGTTTGCATTATAATCGTGATGCTGAAGTATGGCGCACGTCTCTGCAAATTACGACACGAGCCATTGCCATCTGATCAAGAATGGGAAGGCAAAGCGTATTCCAGAAAACTATCTCTCTCCATGGCGTGAAAACGGATATTACCGTTTCGAAAATGTACTCGTATCGCACAGCTCTTTCATTTAAAAATATATAAATGAAATTGCCGATTAGTACTTTTGCTGTAAACGTAAATTGAACGTAAATAACTTTCCAAACTATTTATAACTGCTTTTTCTCTGTGACACACATTTCATATATAGACACAATATTGCGTATACACAATATTGGTCGTATAAGTTAAATGATTATATCCGTCCATTTATTATGTATTTGTACTAATATATTTTTTATTAATATAGACTCGTACGTGCCTTTTTCAAAAATTAGTGCAATTCCGAAGGAATTTTTATAAAATGGAATTATACAAGTATATAAGACATTGTTGAGAAAGAATTTTTTATGTCCGTCCACACATGTCTCTTTGATATTATTATTAAATCTACATTGTTCGAATAATTTTTGTATAATATCGATAATTGAGCACTTTTGTAATTTTTATATTGAATTCTCATTTTACGAATAAAACACATATCATGAAAATCTCTACCTCGAAGATCTTTTTACGAAATTGTACAAACCCCGATCAGCGCAATTTGAATGGATCACATCACTCTTGTATATATAATATTTTTACTTTTATTGACAACATTGGATTTTTGTTACATGTGTAATGGTTACACAATTATTTCAATAAGTAAGTAGATACATTATACAATTTTTATAGTAGTTCGTAAAGAAAATCATCGATTTCATCGAGCTACAGTACATCCAAAATTCAGGAGCTATCCTAAGCTATACGTTCTGACGAAACTGTCCATAATGAAACAACCGCGCGATCAGCGATTTATACAAATAACATTTAACAATTATTTATCTAAATCGTTGCGAAGCAGTTATCGATTTGTATAACAAATTGACATCTTTGGAAAATGTACAATCGAATTTGTTTAATCTTAACGAAATACGTAGAAAATTTTTAGCGATCTGTCATACCAATGGAAATGGTCAAAGCAGTCTATTACAATTTCTATAGTTGCACTAACAAGATTAAACCATCAACAAGATCGACGATCATGAAACTCAACGGTCCGTAATTAGAAGGGTGATTTGCATGTCTCTAATTATTTTAATTCTAACGAATAAAGTTCTGAACGATTCTCTTATTATAATATCTAGAATATCTATGATTTATATATATTCCGCAGGGTGCAGTGCACGCAGATAGCAAAAAGCTGTCCTGGAAGAACTATCGAGAGGGATTTTCCAGAGCGGAACTATATAATTTAAAGGCAATTAAAGGAAATTAAAATTGTGCTATATCTAATCTTTCTTGACAAGTGTCGGAGCGCAGGTCTGCCGATTTGCAGAATTTCATTCACGACTTGTTACAAATTTGCGTAGCCAGAGAGAAATCCGCTTCGAAGTTTCTCCAAAGGAGCACGGACATTTGCTATCGACGTATACGCATTCTCCTCGAGACATCCTGTAATTTTATCGAAGGATTTGAAAAATTAGCCTCTAGGTTTACTGATGTATCTTTCTATCATGCTATGTTACAATGCGATTAAAACATGGAGAGCTTTCTGCGAGCTCCACACAGAGAAGTCAAGCACGAGACTCGTTACATCTGTTTTACACTGCTGAGACGCATTCGGATGGTTCAGAAATTCCGCAATCCTGCACGATCGTTAAGAGCATAAGATTCCTACGAAAACTAAGAGGCACGCGAACTCGCGCATTTCGTAAAAAGTGTAGCGATCTTCGGACACCGAAGGAGCTTTTTCGAGAGGAATAGCGCGAACGATCCCCGTAGATCACACATGCAATTATTACGCATTGTAAGATAGATGTAACGTTCATGGGGGACACATTGAATGCTTTTGCACGTAACGAGTCGACTTCCGTGGTGTGTCCCTGGTTACGAACCGATCTCGGTGCGGAACACAGCTACGACCTTAGCAATTCGAGGTGGAGGGAACGACGAATGTATCCGGTGAAGTCGAGTTCATCGGTTTGGAAGAATTTGTGGGATCAGTGAGGACAGTAATTAGCGAAGAGTCGAAAAAAGGGAAAGATAACGCTATCCTAGTTTATCGATAAAATTCGCTTCACGCGTAATGATGATATGCTGTAATACGGGAGCTAGAACTAGGCGCTTGACGATGACGCGCGTACGGCGTCCACAGGGATTTCTTAGATGAACTCTCCTGGAGGTCCTCGGAATCCGACGCGCGGAAGAATCTCGCCGATAATCTCGACGCTTGTATTCTCGACTTTCGGAGCTGAAGGACCGGAGTCTCTCTGTCGCGTATCGGAGATCTAGGATGGAGACGTGGAAGAGATACCTTCAAAATATTATTGTATGCTCGTATGTGAAAAATACTCTCTCCTCAGGCCTCATCTACCCCCTATGCATTCTTGCGTAGACACATCCGCACGACGCAACTCGCACTCGCGTGTAACTACCAAACGCGCAAACAGGCTTAACTTCTTGTCATCGACGAGCCCTCCGGTTATACATCTAGACTTAAAAACGAATTACAATCTTGTATGCGGGGAGGAGGGATTTGATTTTTGTAGCATCGAAAAGATATCCAGTGATCTACCTCTCTTTTTCTCTTTCTCTCTCTTTCCTGCACGCGCGAGCGTGCATGTTTGACGAGACGACGAGTTATTTCAGTTTGATTTTCATGCTCATTGGCGAGTTTCCATAATTGCCAGTTATCACTTGATACAATATTATTATAACGTTAATTGCGAATATTAACATCGGAAGTGACAACGTCCTGCCGAAAGGGGCGCGGAGGATTCCGGATAAATTCATTAGGCTCGCGCGAACATTCTGTGCTAAATAATACAGTATATTTTTTTTTCGCATTTTATTTGAATTCTCTCGACAAATGTGTCATTTTGATGTGTATCGTTTGATCGTACATTTTGATTTTATAATTTTTGATTCATCGTGACCGTTTTGAAGATGCCACACAGGACGGATGCTTCTCGCCCGAACATCTTTGTTTAAACTGACGAACCTTCGCGACGGCGTAATAATTGTCGGAATATCTCGCGCATGTTATATGATACAGGACACAGTTACTTTGAACACCGAACATTGTATATTTATGTGACAATCGAATGAAAGCTGTTTAGTATGACAAATATTGTACATGATTTTAAGTGGATCAGCAGCTAAGCCAAATGGGAGTCGCTGCTGCTTCTTGTGTGATAAACAATAATATTAATAATATTAATAATAATATAATATCGCTGCGGGAAGACGAGAGAACAACTTTGGCGGATGATCTTATCCTCTGCAAACCTCCGAAATGGCGGCTGCTGCTAGTCAGGGAGCTCTACGATGTGTGCTACGCTCATTAATGAAACAACCAGTGGTGCAGATTTTGCAAGAACACGCTAAGAAAGCTAACTCCTGAATCCTTACAGATCTTTAAATATCCGAATTCACAAGTCATGAAAAAAAAAATGTCGCATCGAGAGACGCGAGTGTCGAATTCGCGAAAATTCAATGCACAAACTGCATCACTTATGTGTCTAGACGATCGGCCCTGTTCAGCTTTCGTCATCTCGAACATGTTACGTATCGGTTCCCAATCAATTCTTCGGTTGATTGCGCGGCTTAACCCTCCAAGATCTCGCCATCGTCCATTTTTAGAATACCTTTATGCGATCAATAACTCCTCTAACAGGGGAACTCGTTGCAAATTATGTCAATGGGTTAGATAGAAGAGTCTCCTCGACACAGGCATACGCTTACGAACATGATATTTTCCATACAAACCTCGGACCCATTATTAGGTGTAACCAATCTAATATGTTTACTCGGAAGTTGAAATTGTCAAAACATTTCAGCCAAAATTTAACGCGCAACATGCACCTGATGTAAATTATTACTAATTAATAGTAATATAATAGCACAAGAAAACCCTGGAAGGGTTAATAACCGAGTTACTGCCGAGAACAGATGTGATCACCGAAACGTATGCAGTATCCCGTAATTATTAACAGTAATTAATCGACGGCTGCAGCGCACTTTAAAAACGGTTTACAGTTACGCGGTACGCGTCTGCATCCAAAATGCAAATGATTCCTAGGCAGTATATATATATATATATATAATTTCGATCGACGATCGATTCAAATTTTGCTCTGCCTCGCATTTAATTAGCGATAGGAAAAGGGATCGAAAGAAGTTGGGGGATCGTAGAGATGAAAGTGCGCTTTCGTTGCCCGATTAGAAGAAATGATTGGAGATTGTGTGGCGGATAATTACTGCTTGCCCGATTTCTTGTTCGATCGATCACCTGGAAACAGAAAAACAAACAAGGGCTCGCGCTTGCTGCTTAAATTTTCTTCACCCTACGGGCTGTCGCGACGAAAAATCAATCGACCGAACGAGAGGTATTACCTTTGGCAGATTTCTTGGTGTTGGTCTCTGGTTTACACCTTTTGGTGAGCCGTCGCGTCTTTTCGCAGGATGTATCGCTGTTCGCTTTCAAATTATCGATTCTCGTCATCATCTGATTCGCGCATCCGCTCCACGTGCCTTTCTCGTATCGACATGCTGCGATCAACGATCGAATTAAGATGTATTCCCGAACTCGCTTCTTGCGACGATACATTAATCGCGGACTCACCTTTCTTACACTTCTTCTGTATAGTCTTGGTCTGCTCGCAGGACTTGTCGCCCTTCTTGAGGCTCAGAGTGCGCGACCGCGTGTTGGTATTTGAGTCGCATTCCGACCATTGACCCTTTACATATCTGCACGATGAGGAGCTGCCGGATGCTGCGTCAGCAAATGCGAAACGTCAATAGAAACAATTGGACGTAACATCGATCAAGCGAATAGAGAAAGAGAGGGAGAGGGGGGGAGAGAGGGGGAGAGAGAGAGAGAGAGAGAGAGAGAGAGAGAGAGAGGAAAGGAGGGAGATTTTTAAGGTCGACAAGGAACGACTTCTAATTACGCCGTTTATATACGTATGTTATATAGACGGTTATATAGACGGTTTATATTCGCGACCGCTCGATAAAACAACGTCACGATGAAAGGGGGGTAATGGATTAATTACAGAAAGAAGCACTCACTTCGTTCCTTAGTACCACGTACTGTCCGTACAAGCACCTCCTTGTCATCCTCCTCCCACAGATCAGCTTCCGCTCGCGCATTCGTAAGAATCATCAACAAGGCGACGGCCACGAGAGCCAAACTCCAGCATAGCTTCATTCTGTTGAGAAAAAAAAAAAGAAAAGGAAGGAGAACGCTTCATCAAG